AAAACATAATTTATACTGATAAACGGACGGGACGTCGCTGACTGAATAATTAATTCCGGACTCATTAATTAATTAAACGAATCGGAATTAAATCTGGAAAAACTTATTCGGGTACTAAAATAAGTAAACCGAATAACTTATCGACTAATAGTCGAACATAGAATATGACCGACTGGTCAATCTGAACTTGAACATGAACATGATTATTTATTAATAAAGGCTAGCTTAAAACTGAAAGCTTGTATTTCCTTTATTAATAAAATGCGGGGCGTTACATTTCGATTATTGATTACTGTTTATTATTGAGGCTAACATTTACTGCATAGTGGTGAGCACTATTGTTTCCTCTTGTGCTCATCCCCACCTGCTCTTTATGGATGCAGGTTGTGCCGGCGATGACATGGCGGCGAGAGACGAGTGGTGGTCATATATTTGATATTGCTTCCGCTTATTTGAATTGTTATTTATGCTTTTCGAATAATGAGTATCGAATTATTGTTAGGAAGTGAACTCCCTAGTATTTATGATTTTGAGAAACTCAGTTCAGGGAGTTGATGTTATTTATGAACCCGTTCGGGAGTTACATTATTGATATTACTTGAAATTGTTTTGGAAATGAGTTGCGCCGCCATGTGCTTTGAAATAAATTTTGAAAAATTTATTCTGATTTTCGTTAAATAAAAGTGGGGCGTTACAGAATGGTATCAGAGCGGGTCTACGTTTCTGTAGACTGCTTAAATTTGAATTATGTGCATATATGATTATTTGAGTTAAGCTCGACCACTCGTCTTCGGCGTACCGTGCCGCTCAAGGTATGTAAGTCATAAGTATCATTGATATCACTTATGAAATGTTTGCTATTCATGATTGCTTATGTATGTGCTAAATCGGGGCTTAGGATCTATCCATCTTTGAAATTGGTGACCTATAGCGTTTCATGATAAACTCTAGATTTCCTTAATTGTGTTGTGTTGCTTCTAATTCAGTATGAATTAGGGAGTCGAGAAGTTTTGTTCCACCTTAAAGGATTTTGGGAATCTTTTAAGGAGGGTAGTCGTGTCTGGTACATGCACACCGTGGAGTGCAGAGTCACCTTCACTTTTGACATTCGTTCATCGTAATCTTTAGAAGCTCATTTAAGACTGTCGACTGGTTAGTTGCTTGACCGAAAACTGATGTAACGGCCGACACTGTTAGTCGGAAGAGTCGAATGAGCTAAGCGTTTCATTACTCGGTAATGACCGCTGGGATTGGGGTTATTCCTGGTTAAGGAGCTGATTCTTGTTTCTTTTGAGAAGTTTTCCCGACCTCTATCGTTGGTTATTCAGTGGATATTGTGTTGATTTAAGAAGGTGGTGGACTTGGAACTCGTTTTATGCCTTATAAAGCTTGACACCCTTGAAACCGTTGAAATTGTTTGTACCTAATGGAATCATCTTGGATTGAACCCTAAATTTTTGTAGTTTAGGTCTTTTGTGTAAAACCATTATTCCTTCTGTTTACCTTGGAAATTATGAACCCAGAGTTAGAGAATTTCTTTTTTTGAACCTCGAACCGAGTGCCGAACCTGACTGGGTGTAGCCACGCGAAGTGGTGGCCGAGCCCGCACGCCCGTGCTGAGAGACGTGAGGCCAACTGCAGTGGCTGACCGTTGACTCGCAGGAGAGCTGTCGCCGCCATCACCGAATGCCAAACTCCCCAGGTCAGTGTATACGGCCAAACCATGACCTTGTAGTCAGTCCTATACTGCGGATTCGTTTTTGAACCGTTCAACCAGTTTCTGTACCGAAATGTGTTGAGAAACCTCTTGAACCTTGTCTTTTGAACTTTAAACCAAGAGCTCCAAGTTCCGCCGAACCGATGTATGACCACTTAATTTTCGATTAAGTGAGTTTTTGTTGTTAATCGCTTAGCCGTATGAGGAATGTTCCTTGAGCAGGCATATAATTGTGGTGATGCATTGTCGAGCGGAGTCTCGAGTCTCGATTGGAGTCTATGTAATCACCATGAGAGCGGTTGGTGGATCCTTTCCCGTTAGTGAAGGCCGAGCCCAATAGGCGGGACCTTTTTATGTTGGTACAAGTGTCTTCCTGAAGGTCGCACCCGATGGGTGTGGTTCGCTTCGGGAAGAAGGGGGAAGCTTCAGCCTCACTATATCGGACCCTTTCACACTCTCGCACGAGTCAAAGACTTGGCCTACCAGTTAGTTTTACCACCTGTGTTGTCGGAGTGCATGACCCCGAACACGTTGTGGACTTCGTCGAGTTGCAGGTCGAGCGAGACCTTACCTATGTGTAGGTACCAGGTTCGTACTGAACCGGATGGTTCATCAGCTGAGGACCCGGGCAATCGATCTCGTCGAGGTGCAATAAAACCGACATAGCAGGTCTGAGGCAACTGCGGAGACTGAGGGCGAGACTATAGGAGATATCCGAACTTCATGTTTGATGTTGTATTATAGAGTTTAGATGTTTTATTTTCGAGGACGGAATTCCTTTTAAGGTGAGTAGATTGTAACGCCCCGTTCGAATATGCGAATTTATGTGAATATGTATGGATTATTTGAGATTATTATTTATTATTTTTATTATTATTATTATTTGCCAAGTTGATATCATTATTATTATTATTGTTATTGTGAATGCTAATTACCTAATTGTAATTAATTGTTTAATTGATTATTATTATTGTTAGTATTAATATTTATATTAAATGTCAAATTTGTCTAATTGTTATTATGTGTTTTAAATGTTTATATATTTATAAATATTATATTGTGTATTATATATAAGTATTCTAGTTATTTATTATTGTTGCTCGATTAAGTATTTTAGCTATAACATTATATTATTTGCGAATAATATAATATTAAATTATTTCGTTCAATTTAATATAATTAAGTCGTTCGAAAATTTGGTTTATTATGTTAAACCGGATTAGACTCGAATTCTATTTTCCTCGCGAACCATTTGGAGCCCGAGTCCCGGCCCTCATTATTTTC